AACCACACCTCCACGAAAGCCAATCGGCATCCAAAGCTCATCTTAAAAGGCCTCAGATATGCATGTGTCTGCTCCTTTGCGCAAGCGGCAGATGCACTGTGACTTCATTCAGATGACACCATTTCAAGCCCCTCCTCCACCTTTGTAGCTAAGCTTCATCAGAGTGTCATTCCTCCCAGACTACTGTGTCCCCTGTCTCATTTTAACCGGTTCAGCAGAAGACTGCCATATTGAGATTGGTTCTGCCAGAGGTTTCTTCCCAACTGGGAGTTTTTCCTCTCCACTGTCGCTCCATGCTTGCTCATCATGGACAGGTTCTTTCAACCTGTGTTATCCAACTGGACTTCCATCTTTGAGGTCCCTCAGTGAAGCTCTAGTATAAGCTCACATAATTCACCGGATCTCCCCATAAAGCTCAGCATACCATCTTGCTAACCAGCAGTCTACAGACTGACCAACTTTATCTATCTCCGCTCCAGCACCAGTTTCAGGCCAGGGGGCGAAAGAGCCCTATTCTTTGCTCCTGTTCATGCATATCTATCAAAATTAAGTGCTTTTTCTTGCCGAGGTCTAAGCGCCAAAGACCATATAATTGTATCAATAAATTTCTCCTAATTGTCTTTTCTCTTCGTGTGAGTTTTTCAGATTGAAGTGAGTCATAGTATAGTATGAGATTAGAAATAAGCTAAAACAAGTCATAGTATAGTATGACCTCATAAATTGGCTCAAAGGAGTCATAGTAAGGTATGACATCAAAAAAATTTGCTCAAATGAGTTATAGTATAGTATGACCTCAGAAAATTGCTTAAGTGAGTCATAGTTAGTATGACCTCAGAAATAGGTTAAAACAAGACATAGTATAGTAGAACCTTATAAATAGGCTAAAACGAGTTATAATATAGTATTACCTCAGAAATAGGCTAAAATGAGTCATAGCATGGGATCACCTTAAAAATAGTATAGTATGACCTAAATAATTGGCTAAGATGAGTCGTATTATAGTATCAGACCTCAAAAATAGACTAAATTGAGTCATAGCATAGTATGACCTCAAACATTGGCTAAATTGTGTCATGGGATAGTATGACCTCAAAAACATTCAAAAACCAGTCATAGGATAGTATGACCTAAATAATTGGCTAAAATTGGTGAAAGTATAGTGTGACTTCAAAAATTATCTAAATCCAGTGATGGTATAGTGTGACCTCAAAAATAGGCTAAATCAAGTCATAATATAGTATGACCTCAAAAATAGACTAAATCGAGTCATAGTATAGCATTACCTCAATCCAGTAATAGTATAATATGACCACAAAAAAATTGCTAAATAGAGTGATAGTAAAGTATGACCTCAAAAACACGCTAAATAGAGTCATGGTTTATAGCATGGCCTCAATTATTGCCTAAATTGAGTCATACCATTGTATGACCTCAAAAATTGTCTAAAACAACTCATAGTATAGTATGACCTCAAAAACACGCTAAATCGAGTCATAGTATAGTATGACAAAAAAAATTGGCTAAAATGAATCATAGCATAGTATAACCTCAAAAACACACTAAATCGAGGCATGGTATACAATGAACAAAATAATTAGCTAAGATTAGTCATAGTATAGTATGGCTTCAATAATAGGCTAAATAGAGTCATAGTATAGTATGATCTAAAAAATTGGCTAAATGGATTCATAGTATAGCATGGGCTTTAAAATTGGCTCATAGTATAGTATGGGCTTTAAAATTGGCTCATAGTATAGTATGGGCTTTAAAATTGGCTAAATCAAGTCATAGTATGACCTCAAAAATGGGTTAAATCGAGTCATAGTATCGATAGTATGACTAAAAATTGTCTAAATCCAAAAATATCTTATGACCTCAAAAATTGGCTAAATCGAGTCATAGTATGACCTCAAAAACACGCTAAATCGAGTCATAGTATAGTATGACCTCAAAAACACGCTAAATCCAGTCATAGTATAGTATGACGATAGAATCGCTAAAATTTGTCCTAGTAAATATGACCTCAAAAATTGGTTAAAACTAGTCATAGGATTGCATGACCTCAATTATTGGCTAAAATTGTATTTGTGTTTGTATTTCTGCTTTTGTGCTAAAGGTTAGATTGGTTCAGACACTGATTATATAAAAATATATAATGATCTTCACCATGTTGGTGTGTGATGGGTAAAGTTATCTATACAAAAATCCAATATATTTATATCAATTTTATATTGTGTTTATACTAAAAGAACAATAAAGCAAATAAGATGTTTAAGAGCTTGATATGTATACACTTCAAAAGGGATCACTTGGCTAAAAAAAAAACAAAAGTTAGAAAAATAATGCTTTTCAAGCAATTTGACAAAAGGGAAGTAGACTTTGTGATAACATTAAAAGGACTGACTGTTTCATCAAAAAAACAAAACAAAACAAAAACCTTTTTGAAGTTGCTTTTAATTATAACCTGCTGCTTTCCAACCAAATATCTTTAATGACAATGTCAACTGTTATTAACAATGTCTCATAATGTCTCACAATGACCACAGTCTGGTTTGACTAGACTGTCAGTAAATGTCTTGTCGTGTTTTTTTGTGGTTGTCTAACAACATGCTGTGAAAACCATTCACCCCAGAATTAAGAGTGAAAATATAATTTTTTTAATACATTTTTTTTTACAAAATAAATGACAGAAAACAAACTGGAATCTGCTGCTATACTCCTCCAGGCTGTGTAGAAACCCTAAACTACAGGCAAAACTGCAGACTAGAGCTGATGTAATATGTTATTAGTATCTTAACGTTGTGAGATAAGTAAAGTCACTTCTAATTTTTATTTTATTTTTTTTACATCGTTTCAAAATGTCCAAAAAGAGCACTATAATCTCAGTACTCATATGCATTTCCTGTAAATTCTTACTTGCCGGGTTGGGAGTCGTCCCTCAAGGCGTACCACTCAGGTCTGAAGCCCTCGTACATGCACCACATGGCCCAGTCAAAGCCATGAGCACTGGTTCCATAGGGAATCGGTATCAAGTCGTCAAAGCTAATTTTGTCAAAAACTGGTGTCAGTATCACAGTGCGGTCCTCCTTAATCCGAGCCAGAAGAGGCTCTGCCCTGCACATGAAGGATACTGTTTTACTGGAACATTAAAAATAGGATCAAACATCAGGTTGCTCTGTTTTTCCACCAACCATTGTACATGGACCTCTATGTGTGCATCCAGGATGGCCACCACATCTCCAACCGCTGCTTTCCACCCTGACAGTCTGGCCTGGGTTAGACCCAGCTGCTCCGAGTGACGAATTTTCTTCACCAGGCCTGGGCGCTCCTCATGGATGGAGCTAATGTACTCGTCCAGTTTGCCCATTAAATCATCTGCAGTAAAATATAAAAAAAAGCATATGAAAGTAGACTCACTTTTCACACTTCAATAAAGACACAAATAACCAGGCGTAAATAAGGCATCAGTCATTCTGGATTTGTGTCCAGCTAAAGACATTATTGGCCAATTGTCATTTCATTCAGTCCTCTTTTATTAGGAGGAGAAAATTATTCAAGATACCTCTAAACAAAAAAATACTAAAAGCATCTAATAAAATAAAAGAATTTTTTTTACAGCACATTATTCTTTAAAGATGGATTTAGAACCAGAGTTTTTTCCTTGCTTTTGAGCGTACCATTGGAGCTGTGATCATCCACCAGTATGATTTCGAGCAGCAGCCGAGGAGGGGTTCTATCAATGATGCTGCGGATGGCTCTCTTAATGACAGAGAGGGCTTCATCCAGATAAATCAAGATCACGGTGAGGGAGGGAAGATCCTCTGGATACCTCTTCTCTGCACATCTGTAAAAAACAGAAAAACAAAACTGTTTATAATTACATCCATAAAAGAGAAAAGTTCGATTTTGGACAATTGGAAGAATACAAAAAAGATCCATTTTAAAACTTGTTAATATCTCTTTACATGAGATTCATCTTTATCATTTAAGACAAAAAACAAACCTGCTTGGTGCAATAAAAACGTTGCATATGTCCAAACACTCTTACCTTAATCTGATGATATGAAGAAACAAACCCCTTATTGCTCAATTACAGCATTCTGTCATCTTCATCAGGAGTCTCTCAGCATCCCTTATGAAATATTTACGTAATCCTAATTGCAGTAGTTCTACAAATTTATTCTGATGCTTCACTCACTCAGCACACCTAACAATTATGGTGAATCTCATAAACCTGATTTAAGCTCTCATAAGCAGATTTTTGCTGACACTTGCCTCCTCTGTTGCAAGGTGCAAAGAAATAATTTTTATTTGCAGGTTAAAAAAGACTGATTTGTTTTCTAAAGATATAATTTTATTTTAAATATTAAAATCACAGAGTCCTTCTCTCCTTTTGAACTCCTTTTGATGACTGGAAAAAGCAATGCTCTGCAGCTATAATCTGTTTCTACTAAAAAAAAATCCTTCCTTGTTGGATATTCTATGAATAAATGTTTAACCTTAACTAATTGGATAAAAAGTTTGCAGGAGTTAAGCTAATGAAGAAGAATTTAAACCTCCCAAAGCTCAAGATGATCCAAGATCAGGACTCTTAGCTAATTCTTACAGGGCTACACCTGGTCTATGGAGGGGATTGTAGGAAGTCCCTGTGATAACGGCTGTTTGTGGAAAAGGTGTGCCAACTCTTAGCAAATCCCGAGGGAACAAGATGAGAAGCTCACCTTGGAGGTCTGGTGTCAGGAATCTCTCGGTTGATCGGCAGCCGGTCGCTGAGAAAGGCGTTGTATCCATACCGCTGGAACAAGTCCTCTGCCTCCTTCTGCTCCTCCTCTGACAGATCGTCGCCCCACTTGCGGAACAGATGGGAGTCTGGGAACAGCTTCATCCCCCGCTTCTTCTCCTTCTTTGCTTTATCTAGTCCCTGCTCCTTCTTTTCATAGTGTTTCATCAAACTCACTGTGAACAAAACAATTTGTGTCTTTAATTTGTTTAAAAACAGTGTTTCCCTACATTTAACTTTTGCACCCCTTTGGGTATTTTGTCTTAACATGAGTCCCCCTCTCAGTCAAAAGTAATTATGACTCCTAAAGTAGAACGTACAATAACGGATTATAAAATAAAAAATATTTTACTTTCTCTTTTATTTTGAGCATGTAATGCTTAGCCATTTTATTATTTTCATATCAAATTAAAAAACATGAATATGTTGCCGGAAGTTAGTAAGGAATCGAAATAGATACAAAATAAAAACCTCTATTTATAAAACTGGAGATCCTCTGAGTAACTCCATTATGATCACATTTTGAACTTGATGGATTGGGAACAAAATGCAGAATAAAAATTATAGTCAGACTAGCTTAGTTTTATTTTTGATCTCAGGTTGTTCTTTACTTCCAGTCTGTTGCTGATGAAGATTCTCAGTCATCCAGGTTGTAGTCATTCAAAAAAATAAATAAACCACTGGACTTTGTTTTCCCAACTTTGAATACCGGTACGTTTCGGTCCACATCCAAAAAACAAAAGCTTTGTTATGATTTAGAAAACATGCAAATCGTTCAGTTCAATTTGCATCTTCCCTAAACCATAACAAGGCTTTTCTTTGGGCCACTCTATTAGCCTGTTATTCAAACGCTACTCCAGACATTTTGAATGTCTTCAAACTTGGAAAACAGAGTCCAGTGGTTTGTTTTTAAAATTTTTTTTTTTTTTTTTAAACTTCCAATCTGTTCCTCTGCCTGGTTTTGATGTATCAAAGCTCAAGGTGAACTCAAACATATAAGAAAAACTTTTTGATTGATAAAAGTTTTAATTCTTTCAATTTGGTCCTCAGAAAGCAAAACAGATCCCAGCCCCATTATATTAAACTACCTAAGGAATAAAGTATTTTTATGTACCCCCTTAAATGCACTCGCAGACTGGGAATCACTGCTTTAGAAGATATCCCCTTCTTTGTGTTGTACACCAATCAGCACATGAATCAACATATTAAAACGTTAATTTAACTCTCCCCTAATCATGTTGACTTAAACTGATGTTGGAATCAGATAAAAACAAGTCTTAGTTTATAATCTCAAATCAAACCAGAAGGCTTTTTCTTATTTCTAATACTGTGTCTTTAAAACCGGTTTGCCAATTACATTTTTTTTCTGTTTTACAGTTATTTGATTTAAACAATTTTTTTCTTTTAAAATCTAAGATACAAAAACTGAATGTTTTTAACAGCAACAAAAAAATAAAATAAAAAAACTCAGGAAAAGTTGCCCATTGAACAGAAACTTTAACTCACTCAGCCTGTTGATGTCCTTCTCCATCATCTCCATCCTCCTCATCATCATCATCATCATCATCATTCCCTGGCCCCTGAGGGACTCATTGTGTTGGGCCCTGTGGAGCCTCTCTGAGTGGGTGCTCAGCTCTGCTTTTATGGAGCTCAGGTAAACCAAACCTGAAGCCACAGCGATGACCATGAGGAAAGCTTTTAACCAGCCAGACCTCATCCTCAGGGGCCACTATGCTCCTGCTCTCAAAGGAAGGAGCAGAAACTTTTTCCTCCAGTCTGGATAATCTAACTCCTCTCTCTATCTACACCCTTAGAAATGTCCTGAAAGCAAAATATGATAACCTGTATTCTAGCAGTCAGCAGTCTAGCAGATTACACAATAAACCAGGTTTTCCTCCTATCACACCTGCAGAACATTCACCTTAACTGCTGAGGAGGAGGGAAAACCAGCAGCAAACTCTGGGACAGATGGAGCAGGAGTGAAGGAAAACAGATTAACTTGGTTGTAACACTGAATATCCTGGCAGTTTTAACCAACTACTAATATCAGAGGATACATTTTTAAACTTAATCTGTCTCTAAATGAGAATAATGTCCCGTTAAAAGCAATAAGAGTGTCTTCTTTTTTTAATCCGCTCCATGTTTTCCTTCTACCCATTCAACTGGAATGCTGAAATAGGAAAAAATAGATCTCATTATAATTTCTTATAAATTTATTCATAATGTTTATCCTGTTAAAGCATTTTTGATTTAAAAAAAGTATAATAATGAAGAAAAGCTTATTCATCTTTTTTGGGATTTTAATTATACCAAAATATTCTGGAGAGATATGTCAATTTTTTTTCATCCAAAAAATCTTAACATTACTTTAACAGATAAGGATGTTTTGTTTGGGATGGAGAAATATAAACTTTTCAAAATAGAATTTTTATATGTTATAATTTTTTTATTATTTATGGTAAATATCATATTCACACCTCCAAATATTTACAACAAGAACCTAATTTCCAGATTTTATTATTTTCTATTAATATCTAAACAGAATCCTTAAAATTTAGTTGAAATGCTACAGCCATGGAAATTATAACTGCCCTTAAAGAATTATAACCCTCCAGCATAGATTTGATTTTGACATTTTAAAATAATAGTTCTGTTCTGTAAAGCCCTTTCTTGTTGTATATGTTTGTAATTATTAATGTTCTATATTGTTCATGTATGTTCCTTTTTTGCAAAAAAAAAATAAAAAATAATCATTACCAGTATCATGAAAAAAAATCGCACATTTAGCCCAACAAATGACCAAAAGAATAAAGGAAAGTGATTTATGAGCCTTCTTTGTGCTGGATTAACCAATAACTGACTGACTCTTTCATACTCCATGTCACATTAAAGCTGTTGGAGAAAAATTGTTTGTCTTTTTTAATGTATTTTATTTTTTTAACCAGAATTCTGACTTCTTCTTATCATATTATACTGGAATAAAATTTTTAATTCAGTTGACTCTTCTGCACTTTCATTTGGTTTTTGTATTTTCCAAAAATATATTTTATATATTTATTGAATGCTTTCCTATTGTGGGGAACACAAGAGAACCATAACACACTGCAATTTATATTTATAAATAGTTAGAGAGATTACCTTTAGTGCATTATATATATATATTTATAGGGCCTAAAAGCATGAATGTATAAAAAAATAACGAATAACAGCTGATTCTGATGCCAAAATCGATATATCATGCAGAAATACAATCCCCATTCCACCCATCCATCCAGAAAAAAATGGATATGCTGCATTTGGAATATAGCATAGCATATTTTTATTTATTTATTATAAACTTTCTGGTGATCTTGGAGATATATTTCATTGCATGTTGCATATCCCTGTAGATCACTTTCACCTTAAATCTGCAGCTCTCCCTATTTCTCCCTGTGCTCTGTTAACAAGATTTATGAACCTCTTTACTATTATAATGATGCCAGAAACTAAATTTCAAGATATGTAGAAGCTCTGAAGTCTGATTCTGTCTGTTCAATAAGAAAACATGTTAATTTTAACCTGTAACTGGGAGTCAGGGGTGGAGCTAGATGGGGGCCCAGGGGTGGCCACCCCTGTGGCCACCCCTTTTTTGGCCACAGACGGTGGCATCAGAAATACTCTGAAGTGGAATGTTCCTACCTATTTAACATTAAAATTTGTTTTATATATTAATAGTTACTTCGAAACAAAAACACTGTGGTTAATTATGCACATCAATATATTAACATAAAAATATGCAGAATTAATGCTCGTTTCAGAACTAGATTTTGCCTTATGGGGTAAAGAAAAAATTATGGGTCTCTGCAAGTCATATAGTAGTCTTCAATGAAATCAGAAATAAATAACTACTTTAATAATAAGTCATTTAATGTAGATATTATTAGATTTAAATATTAATTTTATACAGAACGATTATTGATAAAGGTATTTGAGTAATGATAATTATTAGGATGTTCGCCCCAGAATTTAAACTTGAAAGAATTTTTTCCTCTACACCTTTAATTAAGACAGTATGGATGTTTAAATATATGCGTCTGTTTGTTAGTAAAGGCTGTAGGAAAATATAGTTGTGGTTGTTAATTTCCCTGTTGGAATAGTGTAGATTGACCCTGATGTTCTGGCGCCTATCCGCTTCCGGCCGCCCCTCAGTGTACATTGGTTAGTGCCTGGCCACCCTTATTACGCCTCTGCTGAGAGTCATGGTCCTCTGAGAAGCCTGGCTTTTTTATAAAACAGTCTTAGCTTGCCAAATTAGAATTTATTAAATAACCATTTAAAAGTTCAAAAATTGAAAAAGTGTGCAACCCAAAAGGTTAAGGGATCATCATCGTTCTCCTTCTTTACACCACCTGCCAGGATTAGCCGGTGGCAATTAAGGGCTGATGTATTAGTGAGAGTCTACAAAACAAGCTGTCCATTCAGATCTAGATACATGACCATGTGTGAAAAAAACAAAAACATCCCAATACAGGGTTATCCTACAAAACTTTTTAGGATCATATTATTTTAACAAAAGTATATGGATTAAAATCTAGAAGACTGACAACTAGACGTTCAGCTGAACTTCCTGGGTTGAATTTCAAAATGGAATCACCATAATTTATTTCATATTTTCCTCTCCGAAAATAAGGTTCAATTATTCACTTCCTATTATTAAAACATATTCTCTGCATCATGCAGCCTTTAATTGTAACAAAGCAGGATACTGTGACAGGTTTACCAGGTTGGTTTAACAATTGTTAAGCTACCTTTACAAAGCTGATTAACCAGACCTAAGATGATAAAAACCCATAAGAATTTATGTCTGCTGATATATATAAAATACTCCGATTATCACCTTTTACAAACACAGAATTAAAAAATTCAACTTTCTCTAAAGGCTCAACTATAACTTAAATGCAGGTTTTTTCATAGTGTTTTCATTCTGTGACCCAGCTAATTTGGCTTTATGTATTTAAAATAAATGTTTGATAGAAGTAGCGTGTTTATTGCTTTCCTATAAATACATGCAAAATGACAAAACTGCCAATAAAACAAAATAGGAGACAGAAAACCGCCTCAGTAGGGCCTTTTTTTGGACCAGAGGAATAAGGGAAGATGTTCTAGCACCCCCTAGTGTCCACTTGAGGCATAAATATTGCCACAGCTGTAGAGGGACAAGGAAACTCCTCAGGCCTCATTCATCTTTAGTTGAGTTCAGAGTTCATGATTCAGTGATACTGGCAAGAAGTTTGAGATTTTTCCTGAAAAAAGTCAAAGCTGAGCAGAAAAAAAAGCAAACAAAACAAAGATGCTGGAAATCCCTAAAAACACCACACAGTTTACTAATGGACTGAAACAAAACTTGAAGACCAGTAATAGAAATTACCCTGAGCACTGTTTATCTGCACCCCCCCACACCCTAAACACATCCATCCTCTTCCTCACATGCGACAGTCAAAGCAGTTTAAAAAATATATACTTTAGAAATTATTCCTCAAAAACAAAACAAAAAAAACAGCGTGGACACAATATCGGCAATGAATGCCTTGAACTTTATTTTGTGTTTCTGTACAGAATATACAAGCATTACAAAGGTTTTCCAAAGATACATGAAACCTAAACTCAATAGAATCAGAGATGAGAGACATCTGACTACAGGCTAAAAAACAGAATAAAAATATTTCTGAAATCATCCTGTTTGAGTTGAAAAAATAAACAAACACAGAAATTAATACATCTGAGGGTTTGATTAAAATCTAGACAGCATTCATCGACACACACACACACATCCACACACACAGGACAGATTATCTAGTGAGTAGCAAGGCTCGGATGGAGCGGTTTGACTCGGACGAGGCGGGACAGTCCTAGTCTCAGACCGGCGCTGGGAGACTTTACAGCCGGAGTCTGGGATGAGTTTGGACTTTTCCCAATATGAGCTGAAGAACAAAAACAGAAACACAATTAGATTCACCTTCTGAGGACAGAGAGGTAGCAGGGAGGACAGTCAGGTCTTACCTGGTGGGTTCCACTTGGGGATTCTGCCCCCTGCTGGGCTCAGAGAGCTGACAGGCTTCACAGTGGAAGCTGTGCTCAGGGAAGCTGGCCTACTGGGGGCCAGTTTGGCTGCTGGGGGGCTTCGTCCCAGGGTGGAAACTGCTGGAACAAAAACGCCCAATCATGAAGCGGTTCTAAAGCAAAGACTGGAACATTTTTAATTTAAAATAAATGAATTATAATAAATAAATTTGTAAATTTCCAAAGCTGACAGTTATTGTTCATTCAGAGGTATAAAACATTAATTAATGATTTTATGGAGGATCTTCAAACTGTTGAAGGCAGAATGTTTATGCCAAAACTGGGAGAGAGAGAAACGATTCAAGAAAGGAGGCAAGAGTAAAGGCTAGAGGAAAGGAGGGACAAAAGGGAAAAAGGAAGGTAAGGGTACAAATGAAGGAGGAAATCTAAAGGAGGGACACCATTAGGGAAGGGTGGGCGAGAAAAGATACAAGAAAGGAAAGTGAGCATGAGAGAAAAAGGAAAGGAAGGGCATTTAACTGAGTGAAAAGACACAAGGAAGATAAGAAAAACGGAAGGAAGGAAGCAGGGAAGGAGCCAACAGAAAAATAGAGGAAAGATTAAAAGAGAGTAAAAAGACAGGAATGGAGGTAGGACAGAAAAAAAGGGTAGAATTAAAGGAGTAGGATACAAAGACAGAACGAAGGAAAACAAGGAGGCAAAAAGGAAATTTAGACATTGGGATTGATGCCTATAAATAAAAATTATTGTCCCAACCTCTCAAGTTTTTTTTCCCCAGATCTGACAGAATCTGAAGTAAACAAGCAACATCTTACCTGCTGCAGGTGGTTTGGACTGAGAAACTCTGGATTGCTTCTTTTCATTTCTGGAAGCAGGACTTGGTTTGGTTTTGTCTTTTTTGGTCACCTTCTCCTTCCTTTTAGCTTTGCTGGCTTTCTTCACTGTAAACTCCTCATCCTCGCTCTCAGCAGACTCGTTGAAATCTTCATCGCTCTCTGAAACTGGAAAGGCACCACAGTCACTGTACCTACAACAAAGACAGGCTGACACCAACACCAATGGCCTGGCTGATACCTGCCGCCTGTTTGGGTCTGTAGTCTTCATCTTCGTCCTTCTTTCTCTGCAGCTCAGAGGATCTAGGCGAAGTCTTTCTAAGTTTGGCAGCGGCTGGTGATCCTTTCTCCACTGTGATATCATCGAGGCCTGGAAAATCAAGGGACGGTTATAAAATATAAACATGAAGAAAAAGAATAAAACAGCAAAAACAAGATATTTACCTAAAACTGCTCCATCAACACTGCAGTTGGACAACAGTAAAGAAGCTGGGTCTGTGTTTTCATCAATCGGGCTTTGAACTTTTACCTCCGCTGAAAAAAATAATCAGAAAACTAAGGTTGATGTTCAATGATCGTAAAATCTACATAACAGCCGATCCTTACTGTTGGGGGATTCCTTTAAACCATCTGAGTTATTGAGTAAAGAAAGAGTGATGGCTGCTTCAAGATCTCTTTCATACAACTTCTCATCCAGCGGTTTCCTGAACAAAGAAAAAGAATCAGAAGTGATTTAATCCTAACTCTGCAGTGAGACTTTCATCTCATATATATTTTTAACCTGTGCAGCGTCTCTTAAAATACAGCTACATTCTCACATATTCACAAACTAGACTGAAGTTTAATCTGCATTTCCCACCTGCTTTTCTCGCTCTGATCAGATTTCAGATTTTTATCCTGACTGGAGGAACGTCCTGAAGATTTCTTCTGTTCGTGTCTAATTTCCTCTCTGGGCTTTTTGCTGGGCGGTGCTTTTGCACAGGCAAAATCCTCATCTGTCCAAGAGAGAATGCAGGAAACACAGAGATCAGAGCTCGTTATTCAGGTGTGACTGTAGTGTGTTTATCTCCATGATCTATTCATCTAAATTTTAAAACACAGACGGAGAAAAATAATGTTGAAAAGAGAGTGTGACCCATTAGGCTGAATGAGGTCACAGGTTTTTTATGGTGCCATGCAAAACGAGCAAAATGGCAAGAACTCAAACCAAAAGAATCTCCAAACTTCTCAGGAAAAAGAGCCTGGATGTTAAGTCTAAAGAACAACCATTGGACAAAATATTCATGCCAACTGGCTGACTAGGAGACATACCAACATCCCAAACATCTTTGGAGCAGATCTATGGCATTCATAAGCAGAAAAGCACATCAGGTCAGCTGCTAAGAATGGCCAAGGATCCGTGATGCTTGGGGATGTTTTTTCTTCTAAAGGCTAAGTGAACAACAGCTGCATGACATTAGAAGAACATAAAATAGGGTATATTGTACGAAAATATCATAATAATGATATAAAATAAGTAGGGCTGCAACAACGAATCGATAAAATCGATAAAAATCGACTTTTAAAAGCGTTGGCAACGAATTTCATCATCGATTAGTTGTGTCGCGCGATTATTGCGTCATCTGCCGCGCCGTCATCACTGCCTCTTGACTGAAAGAGGAAGAAAAAAAAATATGGCAGAGCGAGTCAGCGCCGCAGGTGCAGTGTTGCCAACTCCGCGACTTTTCAGACCTCTCCAGCGACTATTTTTCAAAAAAGCGACTAGCGACAAATCTGGCGACTTTTTTCGGTGTCACTGGCGGCTTTTGGAGACTCTTACGTGAAAGCATGCATCGTTCCCACTCTGCCGTGGGGCGCCTCCCCCACCCCAACCGCGTTTTCCCGCAGGAGTCCCTCTCAGTCAGAGCCTCAGCGTCCAGACTGCAAATGAAGCGCGCATGCACCGGGATTGACGGCGCAAATTGATCACAATAATTAAAATAGCCTGCGCTTTGTAAAGCGAAAAAAGTGATAACATGCAACTTTTTTCAAAAGAAATTAACATGGCACGGAACCACCATGTTTGTTTGGTTTTAAAGTGGGGAAACGTAACGTTAGTTTCTCAGGTAGCTCATCTGATGCTTTCCTTACCGTGTTAGTAGGTTACAGACAGTGATAAGGTTGGCTACTTATTTTACTTTTAATTTCATTTGAATTAGCTTAAGCAGCGTTTATATTTACTTTATAAATAAATTAACTTGCAAATTATGAGGGCAAGACTTTTAAAGTTTAAATCTTCTGGCAAAGATAAAGTAAAGATGATCCTGCAATTTATGGAAGTAAAGCAGAATAAAATCCAGCAAGATCAGTAATATGTCAATTAATTATATTTGCCACATTCCCATGTAAATATCTGTCTTTGGAGGATGTGTTTTTTAGCACCCCTAGTTCTCTCATTTTTATTCCAAATACAATTTATAATTTGAATCACAGGGCTATTTTTATCTCTATGGTTCAGTATTTTCTCAAGTAGCAACTTTAACTGCTATACTTTCCTGTCTTAAAAGGCAGAACTCTTCTAGTCTAAAAAAAACTCATTTGTTGAAATGGGGGGGCCTATTGTTTGAACCCCTTAGAGGCTTTTAAAAACAAAAATGTCTTTTTTTGCGCTTTATGAAACAAAGTACCCTATATTTTGTGGATGTACAGCTACATTTCTCATGTAAGTTTGCGTAGTTTTAACACAAACATTTATTTTTCATATTGCACCAGTACAGTTAATGAGCAACCTGTACTTGTGTGCTTGTTTGTTCTGTCTATAATGTTTATTTTGGAATAAAGAGGTTAATATAAAAAATATTTTTTGTCCGATTCATCGATTAATCGAAAAAATAATCGTCCGATTCATCGATTTTTAAAATAATTGTTAGTTGCAGCCCTAAAAATAAGTTAATTTCTTTTGGCCTTGCGTCTTAAAAACATAGCATCCTTGGAGACTATCTAGCTAAGGGAAACTCAAATTACATGCTTTATTTCTATGTTATCCAGAAGCAAATAGGACATAATATGAAAAATCTAGAAGCTGTGGTGAATTGATTTTTAGACAGTGAAAATATAAGACAATAAAAAAAAAAATGATACAAAACTGGACTATTACACAAAAATCTATCCTCTTCTATGGCGCCTCGGTTCCCATAAAAAATTATTTGCATGGCTAGTTAAACATTTTAGATTTGCAGATATTAAGAGAATACAACTTATTCAATTTGCAGAATATCAAAATAAAAATAATACAGACTTTTATCATTTAAGTCAAAGTTAAAAGCATATTTATTTGTTTGGAACTGCCTTTGACTGTTAAAGTTAAACTGAGGTTTTATTAGTTTAAGTTGTAACTGTTTTATTTGCTTTGCTCATGTTTTTTTTAAGCTTTATTTGGTTTTATTGTGCCTTTATTTTTCTTTATTTTATTATCTAATTCATGTAAATCACTTAGAATTGTCAATATACTTGCCTTGCCTTACAGACAATTTAATAAGAGATCTGTTTGGTAACATTTTGAACTAAGCAAACCGGAATGGATCATCTCACTCACCATCATCTAGGTCTTTGAATTCACAGTAGTTCACAACCTTTGACTTCCTGTTTGAACATAAATATGTCATCAACAACTGTCAAAATTAATCAGTTGATTCATGATAAAAGCGAACACTCACCTAGATGGACGGTCCATGTCCAGTGGAAATGTGAAACTAAAATTCGCCTTTTATTCAGCAACCACCGAAAGATTAACAAACAAAAACAACAGCGACAATCTATAAATATCAGGGAAAATACATATATAAATTGATAAAAGCGCGTTGTTACCGTTATCTGTAAGTAAAAACACAAATCAGCCTGTATAAGGCGAATATATGATGGAGCGCGTTTTTCCTGCTTTCATCCAGCCCGCCGGATAACACCGGAAGTGATGTTTTTGTCCAATCTGAAGAACACCGACAGCTGATTCGTCTCTAGTTGCTAAAGTTTTTATTTCGGGGTTTTTCTATCAAACAACCAAAACTTTATGAAGATTTCATGTAAAAAAAAAGAAACGAAGAGTTAAGAGTAAAAGATAATGTTTTAAAAACAGTTAAACCAATTCCTATTTCCTGAGTGCCGAATGTACATGCGCGATTAGTATCACGTACGTGAAAGGCCGAAAGTCATTTCGAACGTCAGAGATGCCGCCATATTGGGTAGGTAAATGTCTGCACAAGCGAAATTATAGTCGGTTTAAACACTCAATATCGGACCAACAGCCCGTCATACAGCGATATCTTTATTATTCCACGCAAACCTGATAACGTAAATATCTTTTGACATTAAGACATTATTTCTTGTGGCAGTGCTAAGCAACATTACATTTAGTTCAGAATATTACTTATATGATCTTTGATGATTTTTCTAAGTTTAGACAAACAGCAGACAGATGGATGTGTGCATTATATTAAGTATATTGCAGACAGCTACACTAGTATTTAGCAGAAAGATGAAATCAACATAAACCTCACATCTATTTAAATTAAAATGACACTATATTCATATTTTCAAAACTCAACAGAGACAACATACATAAGGTTGTTTTCCTCGTTGCTTTGTATTATGTTATTTAGTATTCAAATAATAATCTGTTTTTATATTAATAAAGTCTAGAAATGACTCATCACACACCTGCAGTCCCACGCTGCCAAACCTAAGTTTGCAGAACATGGAGGTGTGTCTGCAACCAAAGGGAAAGAAATAAACTCAAGTTACTTAAAATACAACTTCAAGACATAATTATGGCCATTTTATTATAAGCCTGTATATTTTTCTAGCAGTTTTGGACAAATAGATTTTAACAACACCGAAATCCATTCATACCTGAGGATTCAGGGCCACAGAGGGGCTTCTATAGTCATTGGGCAGCTAGTGGGGCACATCCTGGACAGAGCAAGAGGACAAACAAGGTCAATTAATGTGGCATCAATGTTTATGAATGGTTGGAGAAAGAAAAGGTTCAAGTAATACAAATTTATAATACAGAGGAAAAAAACATTTTATTTTTTTCTGTAAAACGTGGTTTAATAAAATGTATTTCTTGTAAGAAAAAAATGAGAAAATCCACACGTTCCATTTTTTTCTTAAAATGGCTGAACGTACAGATAGAGTACACACGTACACACTTGGGTGAACATGATTAGTATATAGCTATTCAGCATTTTTTAAAAGTATTTGTACCTTAGAGATTTAATTCAGTGCACTGCTCACCCTGAAGAAGGGTTAAAATTGCATGAAGGTGGAAGGGTCACGGTTAGTGAACGCTTTGCATTAGCAGGAACTGTCAGTTCATTGGATCAATTCATATTTAAATGGACCAACTGTTTTAGTGGGTTTAATATTGAGCATTTCCTCTGCTTAAGAGAAACCAGGCAAAAGGTCACCGCAGCGTTCAGACTCCGTTTATCCAGTAGATGTCGGTATGGGCCTGATGAGCTACATAGTCCTCCCAGCTGATTGACATGAGTTTGACACGTCCTCAGCTGCACAGTCGCCCACACTCAGGCCGGAAACAATCCCTGCTCTCTCTGAAGTGGGGTAAAAATGAAAACTCTCCGTTTTAACAGCCATTCCAAGAGAGCAGCTGCTCTACCAAAGGTTGTCATTTTCCCCTTTGTGTGTGGGTGGCTGTCGGCTGTGGTTTGTCACACAGTGGACCTGAAGCAGACGTTCGGGGACGCAACGGTCCGTGTCTTCGGACCCAGACAGGGGTGGAAGACAAGCAGGCTGGGGCCAAAAGATCTTGTGGTCACACATTCCTAAACTCCTACAGCTGCAACTAAAATATCCCTCCAAGTCAGGCAAACATTGCGGTTCAAACATTACACTTCTGATCATACATATAGATGTTTTCATTGTGTTTATGACCAAATCACAAGATCTGGATGTGGATTTTGGAACAGGAGTAAGGTAATCATGAGAAGGCAAGTCTCAACACCAAACATAACAATTGAAAGCATGATTCTAATTAAAGTTACTTATCTTGAAATACTTAATATTTGCACTGATGGTAGACATCCCCTCTTCAATTGTGACTAACATCTTATTAGCTAAAACATTTTGCATGTGACATTTATGTGTATATATCAAATCCTTTTCCAATGCATTTGGATGTTGTACATTTTTTAGTTTAAATTCCATGTTTTCTTTTATCCAAAATCCTTCAATTGATTATAAAGCCGTCCTGTCTGGCCAACCTCAAAACCGCAAAAATTCTTTACAAAACAAAAAAACAAAAAAAAAAACTGCATAAGTAAATATTTTTTATAACCAAAAACAGGTAAATTGGGTTAAATTATAACATCAATTTGTTGCAATGCAGAAATTTTTTTTTTTTAAAAGCTTAAGAAAGGTGTTTTGTTTAGAAACCAAGGATAGTAGCTTTTCAGGAAATGCCTTCTTCCTTGCCTTTTAGTCCAAGTCAATAGTGGATCTGTATTATTTTTCTGTGAAAACAAATGAAGAATGACCATGCTGTTTATGTTTGCATCACTTTAGCATTTTAACTATAAAATAAACTGCAGTTAAAGTTCTCTCTTTTTCATTTACCAAGTTACTTATATTTGATAAGTTTGTCTGAGTTGAAACAGGAAACATTTTTATCTTATTTAATGCTAGACTGACAAAATATACATGAAGCTTATGTAAAAACCTTGTTTCTACTGTTTTTGTTTTTTTATTATTGGATTGCTTAGTTGCAAAATATCCAAACACTCCTATTGGACTATTGTCAAAACCTTAACGGAAAATAAAAATTCTGTGAAGAGGAAAGAGCAATCTATTTTAGTTGTAATAAATGACAGGATATTGGTTTTATTTCCATACTTCTCCTACAGAAAACATTCATTCAACAAGGGTGGTATTATTTTATGTTGAAAAGAAAAGCAGCTTGGTTTACTAGCCTACTATGAGGTCATCAGTGGTCTTAATTTGAGTTTGTTTGTTGGAAGTGGTCTGGACGCTGTTTTCCTCTTAAACCACTAATGTGAATGGCATCATTATGCTGTGTATATGGTCTCAGCGTGGTAGATTGTTTGAGGCTCTCTAGGAGCAGAGCAGGCGTCCATGTTTGGTTGTTCCGCAGGCGGAGACTACGATGTTGTTATTTACATTCCAGGAGGGAAAGAAAAAGTAGCATAAATGTCACAAACCAAATAAACATTTTCATGTCTTGTATACATGAAATGCATTTTTATTTCTGGCAGAGCACTTAAAGTGTTTTTTTTTACTGCCCCTGTTTATAAAGTATGTTATTAAATCTGAAGCGATATATATAGTTTTAGTTCCTCTTAAAGGGAAAACTCTCCGGTTGAGACCGGGAGTCATTTACCAGTCTCAACCTAAGGACTCCTTAATGAGCTTGTAGTGCTTCGGATATCCGGTGTGGCGTTGTTGTTGTTTTTGTAATCTAGAAATGGCCCCGGGCCAGATGCCTTCAGGCGTGGAGTGTGGCCAGCCGCAGCCCTGCAACAGCAGCCTGTCAACCAGAGTGGGCAGACAGGGCTGCCAATCAGTGGCTTCCGGAGTATGTTGTCTAGCAGCAAAAACTCACTTTCACTGAACTCCTCCTGCTTATTTTCTCAGCTACGTACTGAGCAGCTACAAGGGTAACTTTAGGGTTTAAAAAACATTTATGCATTAATAAATTAAAGCCTTTATATGTGACATTTGTTCGCTTGACAAGACAAAAAAAATCAAGTAAATTGCTTACATGTGAATAAACTTTCTAACTCTTCATCGTTTTCTGGAAAGCTTTAAGTCATTAATCAACTTTTATAAGGGTATAATAATGAAATTAAATTATGAAACAATGATAAAAATACATTAGGACACCAAGATTAAAATGTTTTGGAGTTCCGAACTACTGGAGGCATGCCCTGCGGTCTAAAGAAACTAAAATTAAAATATGCGGCCATAACGACCATCATTGAATTGGTAGGCAGAAGAGGGAGCCTTAGAGATCCAAAATTTTTTGGCACTACCTCTCCAACGCCCATGGCCTGCGGACGAAGGTCAAAGATCTGGTGAGGTGAAAACTCCAACAACGACTAGAAGAACTTAGTGACATCTTTGCTCTGAGCCCAACGCTTCTGGAGGCTTTAGCTACAAAGATGGAAGCTTGCAAGTCTGAAAACATTCAAATTTGGAAGAACAGGGTTGGCAGCATTATGCTGTATGTGGTGCATTTTTTGAAACAGATGACGGCATTATTAGGCAAAAAGTATTGCATGGAAATCTTGAAGCAACATCTTAAGGCATCATCCAGGAAAATTAACCATGTCTTCTTCTTAAACCAATGCCCCTGACACACCACTATGTTAATTACAAATTGTCTTAAAGAGAAAAAAATCCACGCTCTATCTAAAAGTGTTGATCTCTATCACACGGAAAAGACCTGAAAAGGTGCTTGTTAGCAAAATGAACTGCAATCCTGAACCAGTCACTGCAGTTTGGTCCGGAGGAATTGGCCAAAATTGCAGCAATCTACAAAGAGGAGCTTATGGAAGGATGACAACCAAGTCCAACCTAACTCATGCAGTTTGTGAACACCTGTATAATTGGAAAAGTAAGATCCAACATTTGGCAAAATCACTGATCCAGAAAGGGAAACATCTAGTATTGGGTTTCAGCTGTGGGCTGTTTTTCTTCTTTTTTTCCCCCCAAGTTGGATATTCAAATAAAGATCAAAATAATTTAGTAGGTATTTTAGCTTGCATACATTTGTCTAATTAACAAATATGACTGTAACACTGAAGGTGATTAGGAATATAGTGAAAAAAAAACTTGCCATGGTAGTTATTTCACAACTGTGCTTACGTAGGGGACTCCATCTGTCAAATTTAAGGTACTTTACTTTGAAGCATTCCTCTTTATTTTATTTTATTTTTTACTTTTTTTTGTATTTTCCAAGTGATGTTGTAAAAGTTTAAATTCCTTCTAGTGACCCTTTGATG